ATCAGTTTTTGGTGTGACGATATCAGATTCAATGTAATTTTTTTATCTGCAGCAAAGAATAACAAAAGTGCTCTTATGATCGTGAAGGAGCTTTTGGAAAAAGAATGGGTTTCATTCTCTGCTACTGAAAACACATTTGTTAGAACTAACGGGGGTAATAAAGTATCACCAAGTGGTTTTTGTGAACTAACAATTAATGAGATGGGGTGTTTGATCTCTGGAAAATTGCGATTCTTTAACGTAGAAGTTAAACAACGTCAAAGGGAACTAGAGAAAGTGGTAAATCTGATAGTTAAGCATGGAAATTTCTACGTGTGCAAAAGACCTTTATCGATGTTCTTAATGCGAAGCTGTGAAGACCAATACCTGGTACAAGATCGATCTAATATTATTAGATCGTACCTGAGGCATCTTAAACGGAATTGGCTAACTGACATTCAAACGAATACTCTCAAGAATAATGAAAATTTCCTGAATATACAGAAATTGGCTTTCCAGTATCTTTGTCAAGCGCGTCTGGATGAAGGTTGTTACTTGGTGTCTGAGTGCGGTAATAGAAAAGTATTCTATCAAGAAATAGATTTCACAAAGGAATTTCAAGAAAGGGAGTCACTCCCTGTCAAAAAAGTTATCTGTGGTGTTCAACATGTTTTAAGTTCTCCATCCACCGGGGAAGTTGTGACTGAATTATGGATGGAGCCACCACAACATTTTCGTGTGCATGAGGTATATGACACTTTTGTCAATCGAATAATATCGATTGATAGGTTAAAACTATCACAGTTGGTGACTTTTGATCAAATAATTTCTATCGTGAAAGCTCGGACTCATGAGAGATACTTCGTGCCCTCATCAAAATCATTGAATATGCCAAGTTTATTCAATCTTCCGGCATTGCTCTATTCTAGTGAATTTAAGATTGCAAATTATCCCGTTCCCACCTTCTTATCAATAAATTCGCAATTTAGTAGTTTTCCCCGGAAGCAGCAAAAGAAAGATTTCTCATCAGAATCATTGCATGGTGCGAACAATAAATCATCATCTGGAGCGATAACTCAAATAC